CATCTATGAGGGCTTCTAGGGAACACACCAGGCGAGGTGAGTACCGATATATGAGCAGAGCGGAGTCTTTGATAAATTTGTTTGTTGTTTTTGTTTACATGCCCATAATCACCCAATATGTTCTTTTTCAATCTAGGTATTGGTGGGTAAACACCCTTGTTTCGACTTTATGCATTCATGCATTCATGCAGCTTGCCGGAACTCTCAAGGATTTGCTGAAGAAGTACGAGGACGAAGCTCTGGTGAATGGAATCGTGCAGCAGAAAGATGCTTGGCTTTGTATCGGTCTTGATCCCTTTCTGTCCCTCCTCAAGAGTTTTCTGTCTATGGCACCATGTAACACATCACCCACCCACTCAGCATTCAGGAGACAGATGGACTTTGGATGAAGCATCCCGAAATTCCGGACTGGTGGGGGCGTTGGTGTGTTGAACTATAAATATGCGAAACACTAATATTTATTTATATATATAATATATTATAGATATATATATATATATTACTTATATATGACTATATATGTGAAAAAGTATGCAGTGCATGTCCTAGTTGAATATATATAATATATCTATGTGTGTGAGCGCCCTTGGCAGGAGCTTCGCCTCTTTCTGTGCTGGGACAGCACATCAGAGGCTTCAGTGCAGAGTGTGGCGCAATCACTGGAGGTCAACAAGACAGCGGAGATCGACAACAAGGTTGCCAAGGAGTTCATGTGCCTCGATTGTGATATAGAATGTGGGGACATGGAAGTGTGGGGACATGTACACACACAGAGGTATATAAATATATAAATATGTGTGTGGTGTGTGTACATGTGCTATTGAGGTGTGATGCTGGTGCGATGATGCCCAATGAGTTCAAGACCAACATGGAGCTCTCCAATGGTGCTGTCTCTGGATCCAGTGGGTCGACACCAGCACTTGAAAACGGGGTGGCGAAGGCGAAGGCGAAGGCAAAGGCAAAGAGTGAACCCAAGGCCAAGAACGTCCCAAAGCCCAAGACACCAGAGCAGGAGGCCAAAGCTGTATCTCTGCTTAAGTGGTGGGTGTGGACATCTGGCACATATATATATGAGAGTGGCACACCACGTGTTTTTGGTCATGGTACTTGGAGAGTATCTCATTGCGTGTGTATGTATACTGATAATTATTATATATATATATCAAAAAGAAATATGCTGTGAATTCAGGCACTGACGAAAGCTTCGACCCTGATCCTGGAGATCAAGAGTTTCTTGGCTAACATACCCCTGTATAAATATATGTATATATATATATACATATGTATAAACTCATCTTATAATATATATAATATATATATATATCCCCATCTGTATATATAAATATATATACTATTACTATATGTATACTATTAATTGTTCCCCAACTAAATATATCCAACTGTATACATATATATATATATAATCTTTCTATCTAGTCATCTCTCTATCCACTTTCTATCTTTCTATCTCTCTATCTTACTAGCTAGATAGATAGCTATCTATCTACGTACCTACCTACCTACCTACCTATCTATCTATTGATCTGTCTATCTATCCATGCATTGATGTACCCATCTCTGAGTTGTCAAACTCTTACTGGTGCACCAATCTAAGGTTGGGATGCTGTGCTGACTTCCAATGGTGTGTCTGGCACCCCAGTCAATGTCCAATTTATCTATTAAGAACCACTATGTTTACCAGTTCTCTATTAAGAACCACTATGTTTACCAGTTCACCACAAACATCTGTTCGAATCCATTTTCCAGTTGAGCCTTCTTCCATCTTTGCAGCTTCGAATGCCCTGCAGCTTCTTTGAATGCCTCAGCTCAGGCCCGATGCCATGAAGAATGCAGCTCTTGTGGATGTGAAGGGCAATCTGGACCAAATGACCAACGCCCGTGATGCAGTTGAGGTAGGTTCTTTATCGGGGTGGCATTTCCCACAACTACTTCTCATACCCCATGGTTAATAATATATATATGTTATATGAATATACATATATATATATATTAGAATATCAACTCATCTTATAACATTATAATATATGTATATCCCTTAGTTTATATATATATAGTGAACCTTTGAAGAAGTTATGATTTAGCCAAATCCCACCACAATCCTTTTTTAGTCTCCAACAAATCTTGTGCATATTCTTAAATGCCAGGTAGTTTTGATGATTAGTGGTCACAACCTAGCTTATCCATATAATTCAAACCAAATCTCTATCTATCTCTCTCTATATATATCCCTAAGGATCCATGTATGGAATATTTACCTACATTGGGATTATTTTAAATTACTTTAGGGGTCAATGTAGGTAAATATTCCATACATGGATCCTCTGGGTATATATATATTTTTTTTATATCCCTGCTGCAGGCGAAGCTGGCAGCTGCTGAGACAGGTGATTCTTTGCGTTTGTTTACCCAGACCCTGGCTACTGAGATTTCGAAGTACCAAACCGCTTCCAAAGTTATCAAAGGGTTGATGCCCAAAGCAAAGGCTAAGGCAAAAGCGGCAGCAGCTGCCCCTTCGATCTAAAGTGTAACTTGTTTTACTGGATTGATTTGGAACTAAATTTATATATATATGTGAAACCAATGGCAATTTTGAATCATGGGGCCTATGCTGCTTAGAAGCCAAATTAGGATTTCGAACCTGTGCCACTAGGTCCATGGGAGAAGGTGGGCTATGAAAACCAACCAACATATATATATATATATAGCATGATTTTTTTTAAAAAAAAAGTGTATTAACCAACCCCATGAATTGATAGGGACCATGTTCAAATCTTATATATATATATATCCCTGTGGATCCAAGTACCTTCTATTAGGAAGTGTTTGGGATATAATTTACCCTAATTTGGAGGCTTAATTACCTTATCAGACAGTGTTTGGATCCATAGGGTATATATATATATATATTATCATCTCCCAATTTAACATTGCTCATCTGGCTCCTTGGACGCTCAGCCGGGAAAGACTGTGTGTTAGATCGGTCCACACGGTGCCAAGAAAAGGATCTACATCGGTGGGTGGGTGATGAGTCAGAAATTGTTTGCAATGACTGTTATTCTAGCTGAGCAATATGTAATGGACAACCATTCTTTAAGATTTTCGATGCCATGTTTATATATTATATATATATATTTTTTCCAATAATATATATCTTATATATATATAGCTTTTAAATATCCCATAGGATCCATGTATGGTATGCTAACATTACCTATAGCATGTGGGGTATATTGATGGTAAATGTTACCTAATATATATATATGTAGCATACATGGATCCTATGGGTATAATATATATATATATGTGTATATCATGTGTATATATATATCTGATCGCACATGATCAAATGGAAGTGCTCCTTCTTCTCGATGTTGTTGCCACCAGAAATCCTTCTGTTTCCCCTTGGGATAGAAAATGGAAGGGCTTCACTCTAGTGGGAAGCTTGTGCATGGTAGCTGCCAGCGCTCTCCATCCATTGTGAGGCTAGCTACCCCCAACCACACATTACAGGTGGTACAGAATAGGCAGTCGTCATTATTGTTCTTGTTGAACGAAGACCACCCGTAGCAACCCATCGCAGATACATCTCTTGCCGAACATCTTCTATCAACGCTTGGTCGCGGTGTGACTCGGCCAGATTATGCCAATTGATTTATCTCCAAGATTTACATGTCTTATCTGGCAAGTTTTTTTTATGCATAATCATCAATGAAATCCATCCTTGATTCTTCATGTTGGTTTCGTTCTGGGATCAACCAATCCAGAAAATCAGTGATGAATAAAAAAAACAAGTAAGTTCACTTAATGAGTAACTCCATGCTTTGGTCATTAAATTTGTCTGAGGCATCTTCAGTTGCAGATATTCAGAAAGCCGCTGCTGCTACTGTGCAGGACTGTTGTGGGTCAAAATTATCTGTTTTAAACCCTGTTATATATTATATATATATTTACGACATTATAATCCCAAGTTGGAACCAAGTTGGAATCCCAATTTGCTAGTCTATCGCCAGGAGTCCCGTGGACACTGCAGTGGTTTGACCAAAAGAATTGCAAGGATTGGTTCATATGGCAAGTACCCCAACAACTGCGAAAGGGATCTTTTTCGAGCTCTTGATCTTCCATTAGCCACTGGATGTGATTAAACCAAGTATATTTTCCTATTTCCCCACCTGCCAGGTGAGGGTTGTTAGATTTTATCAGAGTTGTTCTTCTCCTTCTCCTCTTCCTCCTTCCTCCTCCTTCTCCTCCTCTGCGTCCTCCTCCTTTTCTACCACCTCTGCCTCCACTTCCACGTCCACTGTTGCCTTGCCAACTCTTGGCCAAGCTCTTCGCCAACTTCGGAGCTCAGTGCACACTGCTGGACCTCAACCTGGGACCTCCCCAGCTCAGTGCGCACCGCTGGACCTCAACCTGGGACATGCCGAGCTCAGTGCGCACCGCTGGACCTCAACCTGGGGCCTTCCGAGTTCAGTGCGCACCGCTGGACCTCAAAAGCCAGATAGAATGCCAGAAGATATGCCAGATAGAATGTCAGATAGAATGCGAGAAGATATGCCAGATAAAATGCCATAAGATTTGCCAGAAGATATGCCAGATAGAATGTTACAAGATATGCCAGATAGAATGCCAGATAAAATATTGTCAGATAGAATGCCAGAAGATATGCCAAATAAAGTGCCAGAATGTTTGCCAGAAGATTTGCCAGATGATATGACAGATATGCCAGATAGAATGCCAGATGGAATGCCAGAAGATATGCCAGAACATCTGCCAGAACATATGCCAGATCGAATGCCAGAAGATATGTTAGATATATAGAATACCAGAAGAATTGCCAGTAACAAAGCGTATAAATGTCATGGTGGTGATCACTCGAAGTAAAGTAATTTGTTTAAACCTTTTATATTGTTATTGGATATCAGCTTATTAGGCCTATTCCCCAATCAATGACATATATATATATAAATTATTCTACCCTGATGCCTTTGAGCCCGAGCATCTCCTTCAGACGCAAGTCCATGTCGGTGCAATCCTGCCAAGGAATTTATCACGTGGATATTCCGGTGAAGGATATCGAGTCTACTGTCAAGGGTGCAGTAACCCGGATGAGGGTACCAATGATTCTCCCACATGAGATGTTGGCCTACCTACTGGTGTCTTAATCCAGAGCATTCAGAAACCTGTTGTGTTTTGATTCCTTTTGGGTATATGTGGGTTATTTCTGTACCCCAATCAATCATTTTATAGGTTCCATTATGTATCGAATATTTACCTACATTGGGATTATTTTAAATTACTTTAGGGGTCAATGTAGGTAAATATACATGGATCCTTTGGATATATATAGATTTATATATTTACATATATTATAAAAACTGGGATATTGATGCAGGGCTATGGGATATAATTTGTGTACCGAACACTTATAAGGGATATTTATATATATATATATATAGTCTATAAATTTTGGGTTTGTAGCTGTCCTAATATAATGGGTCTGAGTCCTCGATCCCAGGATCACCAGAAGATTCAGATAGATCGCTCGGAGTTGAAGACCTACTGGACCCATGTGGCGAATCATTTTGTCGCCGGGCACCCTGCATGTAAGGAGGGCATGGTTCATATCCCCATTGGGCTGAGTGGTGATGACGCCAAATATACCCTAGCAGGGGCCAAGGTTGTTGTCATGATGTTGAGCTATGTGTTGCAAGAGGTTCACAGTAACTTGGACTACATGTAGACATGCTAGTTTTTTTTCCACCCCATTATATCTATGTTTTTTCAAAGAAAGAATTGAACAACTATATTTTCATGTATATATATTATATATATATATAACTAAGGCAGTGATCTCTGCCGTTTTCCTTTCTTCGTACTACGCAATGAGCTGAATTTGGGGACCTCTACGCTTGATCCTGTCCTACGAGTTTGCGCATGGAGCTTGAATGCACCTGGTCATATATATAGATTAAAGTGTTGGGGACCCAGTATACAAATCGTTTGAATTCACCTTAGTACTTTCCAGGCCTGAACCCATGCTCCCAATCTGTCCTTGTAGTGCCAAATGGTGGCTTTCCATTTCGATGCCCTCAGAATCACATCCCAAGAAATGATGTGGGGTCAAGACCGATCTTTACCATATATATATATATCCACATGCCCTGAAAAGTAATCACAATATTTTCAGTAGCTATTCATAAAACTTGTGGATATATATATATTTTTTCCCCATGGTTTTTACTCAATAAGCAGCTTAACGGTTAGTAATTACTACTACGCCAGTGGATCAAATGTCGTCTAAACTTTCTTAATTCATCGGTGTCAGAAATGTTTGCATATACATTGCCCCAAGTACAGCCTGAGAAACAGCATTTATATATATATACCTTATACACTAGCTTCCCTGGATATCCAGTATAAGTATTAGCTGGTCCTCCCAGACTTCCAGCATCCCAGGCTGCATATGGTGGCATTTGGCCTGGGATTGGCCCCTTTGGAGGACCCTTATCGCCGGAGAGGATGCGGAAGTCTGGCAGTCCCATTGGGAATAGATCCTCGCACTTGATCTCCAACCTTTTTGTATATATGTTCCCATCTCAAATAATTTAAGCAATTTTCTGTGCGATTGTGGTCATATCTATCTGAGGATATGCATTGGTTGAATGTAGAGGGGACTGGAAATGGCTGTATGAACTCTTTGACTTGAAGAGGAATTACAAGAGGATCGATCTGTGCCACTTCTGTAAGGCTTCCCGGAAGTCATCTAGTCAGAACCAGTTGCTTGGGTTTAAGCCACATATATATATAATGCTTCATCAAGTTTAGGTTAGGAGCATTATATATATAAACGTTTTTTTTCTTTGAAGTGGATAGCCAGTGCTGCAGGGTCAACTGTATTTCGATAGATAAAAACAAATATCCCATTGGATCGAATGTCTGAAAGTATTCCTTACATTTCATCAATACCAGAAATAAATAATTTGATTTGATTTCGGATTTCGGCCAACTGAAATCATGAGGTTCACCCAATTCCGATCGATGGAATCTTTTCATCGCTACTCAGTGCCAGAATTTTACCTTCGGGTGCTGGGCAACTATGTGAATCCGTTGTGCAGCGTTGTGGGGTGGAATCCCTTTATGCTGCGCTTCTGCTCAATGCATTGTGTCAATCTTGGCATCCTTCAATGGCTGAATGGTTGTACATTACATACCTTGTTTGATGACTATGATATGTTCTCCAACGGTTACTTTGTCTTAAGTTGCACAGTTTTCTTTCCCCCTTTCATATATATTGGGTTATAGTGATGTATATATTTAATTTATATTAATATTATACACACAATGAAAACGAATCCATCGACCATGTGGAAACCCATCATTTCTGCAATCCCCTACAGTATCCCTTCCCCATAGGGAATAGATCTGAAAAAAAAAACAGCAACTTTAGCTTTTCTGTTGTTCTTGGACCATAGTTGCTGGTTGACCATCAATGTATACCCAATGCCATACAGGCACTTTCTTAATATTAGGTGGTTTATAGGTATATATATATATATATTAGTTTTATAAACTTTATCTCCATCTATATTAAGTTTATCACACTATCTGCCTATACATTGATGGTCACCCATGCCCAGGTGACCCGAGGGCTACTTTGTCCGAGCGTCTTGCCCTGATGACGAAGGGCTTCAACGCATGGTGCAAGTCGGAGGGAATCGCGCCGTTTGGATGGTTTAGGATGGTGATGGAAGAAATCCTACAGTACCAGCTGGTAGAAGATTTATCAATTATTCCAACAACATATATGGTAACATTTACCATCAACATACCCCCAATGTTAGCATATTATACCATACATGGATATATAGATCCCAATATAGTTATATATATGTGTATATACCCATAGGATCCATGTATGCTATATATATATATATATATGGTAACATTTACCATTACCCCCAATGTTAGCATATATACCATACATGGACCCTATATGGGATATATTAACAGGATTTCTTCCATCATATATGGGGGGTCGTGCTAGTGATGGTGGTTATTATAGCCAACTTGAGTTAATTGTTATCAATTGAGGTGACTTGAGGTTTTGGTTCATAATATATTTTTGTTAGTGGGATTGCTTAAATGATTGATTAGTGGAGGTTTCTATATAATTATGTATAAAATGGGATACACCGATAATCCAGATTTTTTCGTTCATCAGATCGATATCTTAAATTAATTATTGCTAGCTCATTTCCGATAATCGTATGTTTTTTTGGTGATTCAATTGTTGATGGGTGCTATTGGGCCAGACCGTAGCAAGACCGGGCAACTATGTGGAAATTATAATGCTGGGACCATAACCCTTGGTGAGGAGATTATACCCATAGGATCCATGTATGCTATATATATATATATATGTATGGTAACATTTACTATCACTATACCCCCAATGTTAGCATATATACACCATACATGGATCCTATATTATGGTAATCTCAAGGGCATCGCTTAATTTATAGCTTTGTTACCATCCTGCATCATCAGGATTTCGTCATGAAGTTGTCTGGGTAATTTTGCTAATATATATATAATATATATATAGTTACTATATTATATATATATATAGATATATATCATCATCATCATGCATTGTTAAAAGAGAGAGGTTTCCACCCCTGCTTGGATTCCAGTGGATCTGAATGCCTGAAATTATTCCATTCTAAGGCACTACCAGCATCCTATTTGCGCTGCACTGTTGATTGTCAAAGCTGGCGAGTTTCCAGAGCTGCGCATCAAGGCGTATGCTGGGAGGGTGCTGCTGGCATATCTCCAATCGGTGGTGGCCAATTTGGTGAATTCGTTTTCAGCTAGTGATGTGCCGGAGGATTTGCTCTTGGTGCACGGGGTGCTTTCTGAAATGTGCCAGTGGTTCATTCTGGTGGAGCAAGCTGGGCGATATCTGAGTCAACTGCAAGCGGATGAAATTTGGGCTTGCAGTATGAAGTGACCTGGTAAAGTGTTTCTGTACGTGTTTTGTATATATATATATATATCCCATAGGATCCATGTATGCTATATATATATGTGGTAACATATATATATACCCCCAATGTTAGCATATATATATATATTACCATATACATGGATCCTATGGGTATGTATATATATATATATATGTGTGGCTTTAACAGGGTTTAATGAAGATGTTCCAAGGGGGCTGGATGAAAATGATCCCGCTGTGTTCTGACTCTATACATTTTTGTTGTGGCTATCCAAGTTACAGCAAATCAACATCTAGCCTAGGTTCTTGGATCGCTACAGTGTTCTGGCAAAGAACCATCAACGTATGGGTTCCCTTCGATGGCCGTTCAAGCCGAAGCACCATGTGCCCTGGATTTGCTTTGAACTAGTGGCATCGTTTTTTCTTTTCAGCCTGAAAGGGTGATTTTTTGAAGGGCCTTCTCTGGAATAATGACCTTCTTTGAGTCTTAAAACATCTCAGGCGTTCCAGGAGCTGGCCTGGTTCATGCGAAGGGAGCGGTACAATTGCCGTAAGTACCATTGCTTTGTGGATGAGGATTGCATAGGCTTTGTAAAAGGGCTCTGTCGACGTGTGCATCGAAGGATGCTGGAGTTGAGAGTCCTTGGCCGATGGATGATCCGCCTTGGTGCTTACCGGCGGAAGCCGAAAAGTGGGGAAAATGAAGATTTGGAATTGGGATTGGTGAGTTGTGAGAGGGGGGGAAACCCATAAATGGGCACCAGACAAAAGTCATAAATGAATGTCGCTTCTCAGGCTATACGCGGGGCAATGTAGCAAATATTTCTGACATCGTTGAATGTAAGGAATAATTCCAGACATTCGATCCACTGGGCAACTGACTTGAATTCCATGATTTTTGGGGTAGGCGTACCAACCAGCAACCAGGTAATTTCCCCAGTACCTAAAGGTTCTTAGATTCAACTCATCGGAGCGATCCGATTTCTTTGTCAATTTCTGTCCCAATCTTCTGATTTTCCCTGGTTTTTTTTTGGAAATCAATGAGCATCAAGATGAGACTTCCCGTTGATTTCCCATCATAAATTCCATCCAATTTTCCCTATTGTTTCCCATCATTTCCCATGATTTTCCGGAGAAATGATCCATGGGAAAATGATAGGAAATGGTGGGAAAATGATGGGATTATCCATGATTACCCTCTGGTAAACTAACATAGCTATTAAAAATGGCTATTTATAGTTGATTTTCCCATTAACAATGGTGATTTTCCATAGCTATGTTAGTTTACCAGAGGGTATCCATGATTATCCCGGGGTTCCTTTCCACAGTGCCACATCGCGCGACAGATACAGATTCATCCAGGTGATGAAGTCAACGACCTCACCTTCCCTCGACGAAAGTCTGGGTATAGCAGCCCAGAGGGTGACGCGGTGTCACGGCGGTACTGTTAAATGTACTAATCATATCACCCAACCAAAATGGGTAATTATATATACAGTACATATATATATTATATTTATATAATATTGTAATTACATATGATCTCCAACAAATACTTTTCAAGTGATGTTCAACATTTGTTGTCATTGACCAAGCCCAACCCCATTGAAAAATGGTGAAAGGTGATGCAAGGTGAAACCATGTGGTAAACATCCATGGTGATGACTTGGGGATTGATTTTTTGGTATTGCCTTTACCACATTACTGCCATGTTTAAACGTTTACAGTTTGCGAACTGGAAAATCACCATCTTTAACACCATGGTTAAATTGTTTGATGGGTAAATTACCTAGTAAATCAACAATACCTGGTCATACCAATCTATTTTCCTGGTAAATCAAACATTTTTGATGGGCCATCGCTACAAGAGCAAACTGTGACAACTTACCAGAGGGTGTTTCCCATTAAGTGGATTACAATCCCATTATATAATTATATCCCATTAAATCACCATTAAAAACTCATGAACCCCCACGGATATATCCCATTAAATCACCATTAAAATCGGTCTAATTACTAAGGAAAAACACAGAAAAAAAAACCATTCAATACCTAACTGTGACAACTTACCAGAAAGTCATCCCCTGCCAGGTCTTAGAAATTGTGTTGTGTATCCCATTGGATGATTTGTTTTTCCTCAAACGAATGATGGTAGACGAATGGTTTTCGCTTGGTGCGTGCTTTTTTTTGACCAAGCCGGGGCGAAGTTAAAATCAACATTTTGACGCAGAGGTAAATGATATAAATATATGAATATCCACTCCAAAATGGATGATCATGGGATTCTGTTGCTTGGATTGTTTTTTTAAATAAATCCCATGATCATCCACTGGATTTAACATGATTTAACCAATCTTATCCTATCTATAGATGATGTTTAATAATCCATGATCATCCACTGGCGAAATCCCAGGAGCTACCCTCTGGTAAACTATAGAAGAACTATGGAAAGATCCACCATGTTTAATGGGAAAACTCACTGTTTCGACTGGGCCATGTTCAATAGCTACCCTCTTGTAAACTAACATAGCTATTGAAAATGGCCATCTATAGTTGATTTACCTATGAACAATGGTGATTTTCCGTAGTTTTCTGTATGTTTACCAGAGGGTAACCAGATCTTATCAGTTCATCACTGGATTGGGTGAAGATCCACAGCTCCCATATGGAAAACCCAGGGGGCGCGTGCGCTTTCCTCCTCTGGAGGTGTTGGGATGGCGATTTCTGGTGACATGAAGAACTTCATACTGAGCTGTGAGTTATGGTCCTTTAAATATGTGTATATATTTTTTGTATATATAATATATGTATATGATATATGTATATATGTGTATGAATATATATATATATATAGACACCACTTAGAAGTCAGTTATATAATTATAAGCCCATTTATGGAATGACCAGCCCATTTATAACCAGAAACATGACTGGTAAAGGTTAATTAACTGTGTGAGAGTAGGGACATGTCCAATTGAACCCAAACAGTTCATCTAATTCAACCAACTTAATTAACAAACAAGCTGGGGCACCACCATTGTACGTATGGTTACTGTGCTTGGTTTATATAATTTCCATTCATGGTTGGTTTAACTTGTTATTGTTGATGATATCCCATGATATATTCCATTAATTATATAGCCTGCTATGATATAGCCACATTTTACTATACCCCACTATTGTTGACTGTTTCGATCACTACGGTTGGTTTGATCATGACTATTGGCTGGTGAATAGGATTTCCCGGCTCATGGATTGCGATCATCTCAATCTATTGGATAGTTTTTTTGGCATAGTACCGTCTGGTAGACGTTTACAGTTTGCTATTGAAAATGATGGTCATCACTATTTTGGAGCTCTATATATATATACTGCATATATATATATATATGTTCCATGACGATTGTAGAGCTATTGTCCAAGAGCTAGATGGTTTTTAGCAATTCAATTGTCCATGATTAGTCCCTGAGCCCTAGGCCCTACTGTGGAAGAAATCCTGCATCACCTTGGATGGTTCGAACCCAACAATGGGATGTTTACCACCTATTCTATTCATCTGGTGCAGGATTTTGCAACCAGCCACCGTATGGTACTCTGGTTGGTGGTTTCACACCTGAATTTTATTTTCATATATGGGATAATCCTTCCCATTTTTGTTTTTCAAGATGGTTAATTACTAACCCTCTGGTAATTTAACATAGCTACTGAAAACGGCCCAGTCGAAATAGTTGATTTACCCATTCAAAATGGTGATTTTCTACAGCTATGTTAGTTTACCAGATGGTAAAACCACCATTAAGTAGATTATAATAGTTGATTTACCCACTAAACATGGTGGATCTTTCCATAGTTATTCTATAGTTTACCAGAGGGTAAGTGCCATTAAATCCCATTAAATCCCATTAAACCACCATTTTCCTATGGTTTTCCTATGGTAAAACCACCAACTGGTCGTCTCCAATTGGTGCCTGGCGCAACGGCCTGGCGATCGTCGAGGCCTGGCGCAACGAGCGCGTCGTCTTCGAACGCCCTCTGGGCTCTTCCGCGCCGCAGATGCGCGGCGTGGCGGGGCCGAAAATTCGAGACGGCGGATGGTTCAGTGGGTTGTTTAATAGATATGATATACCATAGATATACCATAGATATACCATAGATATACCATAGATATGGGGGATATGATAATTATAATATGATATACCATGATATAGATATTACCCGACCTGGTAAACATAGAAAAACCGATAGAAAACCACCATTTTAAAATAGGTAAATCATACGGAACTAAATGGGGTATTGAAACAATAGCTATGTAACAAACTACCAGAGGGTAATGGGGGATATAAATTATATACCGAATTATACCTATAAACACCCTTTAAGATATATATTAAACCCGTATCATTTAACATTCTATAAGCCCTATGTTGATATGATATGATTGATATACGATATAACACAGTACATGTTTTCCATGTTTTTCCGAAAAAGTGAGGAGTGAACATCAAACATGTTCAGAACATGTTCAATCTTAACATATCCAAATTTGGGATGGTGAACTTGGCTATAATGACATATCATACCCTCTGGTTATGTCAAAATAGCTATTGAAAATTGCCATAGATAGTAGATTTACCCATCAAAAATGGTGATTTTCCATAGTTATTCTATAGTTTACCAGAGGGTAAACAACCCGAAGCCCATGTCATTTTTTGGTTCAGCCTGCAGTGCTTAGGTCATCTTGAACACAGCGGCAGATCCAGGTGGCCGGGCGTTTTCGGCTTCATAGGGAGAACAATTTTACCATCTGGTTATGTCAAAATAACCATGGAAAATGGCCCATGTATGGATGATTTTCCCATTATGACCTCCATTTTTAAGTGAGTTTCCATGGCTATGTTAAATAAGCAGATTGTAATGTATTTTAAGCAACCAGTATAAACATCGGATGCGATAGTGGTATGAGCAATGAATTGGGGCCACTATCTTTCATGGGAAATCATGGATGATCAGGTAATACCAGGTATGACATCTATCTGGTTGGTGGTTTGGAACATCTGGATGATTTTTCCATTCAGTTGGGAATTTCATAATCCCAACTGACGAACTCCATGATTTTTCAGAGGGGGAGGTCTAACACCAACCAGGTTAATTATATAGTGGGGGATAGTGCGGGTGAATTGGCTTTGTCTGAACATAAGGTAGCTCCAAATCCGTTCTTTGGTCGAGGTGTCCCGTGTCCCCCATTTTCAGAAACCCAGAAAAAGATCACATGATCTCCCCTGGGTAGTTTTCAGATCCCATAAAAATATCCCATGACATTATATCACATTTATATAGATATCCTTATATTTCCACTATATTTCCAACTATCTTTGCCAAAGTTAATAGCCACTATTATTTCCACTATCGTTAAGGTATGGTTAATATCCACCATTACTATAGTTAATAACCAATAGACTGTAGTTCCAAATATTTCCACTCTAATTCTAAGGTTATATTTTCAAGATATTTACACTTATATTTTCTTACCTATAGTTCCTATATTTTCAACATATATATTTTCCAAAGTTTCATGGGGGAAAATTCCACATTCGCCGCAGCCAAGGCTTAGATGCTTGGGCAGAACGGGCCAAGGAGCGCGTCGCATGTAGCGATGTGGAGTCCATCCAGGTGCTGCAGAAATTGAGTTGGGAGTGAAAACCAATGGCTATGGGGATATCATTGGGATATAGAGTAGAGTGTATAACTGCTTGGTGGTTTGGAACATTTGGATTATATGTTTTACCTATTTTAATTTCATATGTTATGTATCTGATTGGTGGTTTGGAACATGGCTGGATTATTTGTCCATATCTTGGGAATGTCATCATCCCAACTGACGAACTCCATCATTTTTTAGAGGGGTAGGTATCCCACCAACCAGTATAACATATGTTTTTTTTTAAAAAAAAAATATTTTTGTTTTTGTTTTTTAATGTATATATAATCAATATTTAACCAGCCATATAACATAATATACCATATGGGTGTGTCTGAAAATGGAAGTTAAGCAACAAGACTACGGCAAGGGATTGGGTTGAGTTGGGCGCTTTCCAAGAACTCGCAGTGAGTGCGAGACACCCCGCTTGGTTGATGAGTAATTTGTCATTTAATGACTACTGTATTTTTTTTACCAACAAAAAATGGGTGTATAAGTGGATAACTAGCAAATGATGGTTGGTTGATGATGAGTTTTAGTTCGGGGTACTATCCAATGTATAATGAGCTGAGAAATCCGTACTGAACCAACTAGTATAATGGTATCAGAGGGGAAGGTTTCGTTTTAGAACGCGGGATAATACTCAATTTGAAACGCGACTTTATTACTCATTTTGAAACGCGACACACTCTGTGCCATGGTTTCCATGGTTTCTATTTTTCTCTGCGGTTTTCCATGGTTTTTATGGTTTCCATGATATCTGTGTGGTTTCCATGGTTTCCATGGTTTCCATGCTTTCTTTGCGGTTTCCATGGTTTTTGTGGTTTCCATGATCTCTTTGCGGTTTCCATGGTTTCCATGGTTTCCATGATTTCTTTGTCTGGTTTCCATGGTTTCCATGGTTTCCATGATTTGTCTGCGGTTTCCATGGTTTTCATGATTTCTTCTTGCGGTTTCCATGGTTTCCATGGTTTCCATGATGTCTGTGCGGTTTCCATGGTTTCCATGGTTTCCATGGTTTCCATGATTTGTCTGCGGTTTCCATGGTTTCCATGATGATTTGTCTGCGGTTTCCATGGTTTCGGTTTCCATGGTTTCATTTCTTTGCGGTTTCCATGGTTTCCACGGTTTCCATGATTTCTTTGCGGTTTCCATGGTTTCCATGGTTTCCATGATTTGTCTGCGGTTTCCATGGTTTCCCTGTTGTCCTAGATTTCTGTACGGTTGTCATAGTTTGCACGGTTTCCATGGTTTCTGTGTTTCCTGAAGCCTCCCAATGCCAACAAGTGAACCGTCCTGGAACCCTGAACAGCAACTGAGATCCCGACTCCAACCGGAAAAGAAATGTTTCAACCCAAAAAACAAAACCAAGTTTCCCCAAAACTCCAAGCAGCCACCTCGCTGCTAGCTGACGCACCTTTGTGCCGCTTGACATCTAAAAGGCTTCGGTCCGGCCCAGATGCAGGTTCTTCAGGATTCCTAGACAACACCCGGTGAGTTGAAGTCTGGACAACACCCGGTGGGTTGAAGTCAAAGCAAAAGTGGAAGTATTTCCATTTGAGAATTGGGTAAATAGGGATGCATGGAATTCTTACACGCACTCCCCCTATGTGATCAGTTCCACTGACCACATATTCAGCTCAAGCCCTCTAAACAAGTCATAACAAGTCTATCATCTGCAGTGCAGCAAATCGCACATGGATTGAAGGCCCGAAGTGGACCATTGGATCCCGCATCACGACAATGCTCATAATCAACATGAAGTGCATATCCATGTGAGATCGCATACAGCCTATGTTGGAGAACGTCTCACTGTGGTCCACATCTGTGACATCGTGGCGTCAGACAAACTTCCTTGGCATGTCTAAGACCATGACATTCACGGTCACAGTGGTATCTTCCACCAAATGGCGTGGTGAAAAGGGGTTTTGGTCCTCTTTGGGAACGATCGGGAGAAGCATCAAAAAAATTACTTTACTTCGTGTGATCCCCACCATGACATTTATACATTTTCTTACTGGCAAATCTTCTGGCATTCTATCTGACATATCTTCTGACATTCTATTTGGCATTCTATCTGGCATATCTTCTGGCATATGATCTGGCATATCTTCTGGCATATCTTCTGGCATTCTATCTGGCAAATCTTCTGGCATTCTATCTGGCATATCTTCTGGCATTTTATCTGACATATCTTCTGGCATTCTATCTGGCATATCTTCTGGCATATATTCTGACATATCTTCTGGCATTCTATCTGACATATCTTCTGGCATATATTCTGACATATCTTCTGGCATATCTTCTGGCATATCTTCTGGCATATCTTCTGACATATCTTCTGGCATTCTATCTGGCATATCTTCTGGCATATATTCTGACATATCTTCTGGCATTCTATCTGACATATCTTCTGGCATATATTCTGGCATATAATCTGGCATTCTATCTGGCATATCTTCTGGCATATCTTCTGACATTCTTTCTGACATTCTTTCTAACTTTCTTCTGCACATTCTTTGTCCCATATCTTCCTACATGAGGTCCGGCAGGGAACACTTGGCGCGGATGGTCGTGGTTGAGGTCCGGCAGGGAACACTGGGCGCGGATGGTCGTGGTTGAGGTCCGGCAGGGAACACTGGGCGCGGATGGTCGTGGTTGAGGTCCGGCAGGGAACACTGGGCGTGGATGGTCGTGGTTGAGGTCCGGCAGGGAACACTGGGCGTGGATGGTCGTGGTTGAGGTCCGGCAGAGAACATTGTGGATCGCGGGTCGCAGTTGAGCAAGGACGACGAGGACGACGAGGACGACGAGGACGACGAGGAGGACGAGGAGGAGGAGGAGAGGAGGACGAGGCAGGAGGAGGCGGAGGAGGAGGAGAAGGAGGAGGAGGAGAAGGAGGAGAAGGAGGAGGACGAGGAGGCAACTGACATAAAATCTAACAACCCTCACCTGGCAGGTGAGGAAATAAAAATGCATCAAAAAAATAAAGATGCATCAAACAAAAATAAAGATGCATCAAAAAATAATTTAAATGCATCAAAAAAAATAAATGACCATGAAGAAAGGGTGGAAGGAGGAAAGGAGGGAAGGAGGAAAGGAGGGAAGGAAGGAAGGAGGGAAGGAGGGAAGGAAGGAAGGAAGGAGGGAAGGAGGAAAGGAGGGAAGGAGGAAAGGAGGGAAGGAGGGAAGGAGGAAAGGAGAAAAGGAGGGAAGGAAGGAAGGAAGGAAGGAAGGAAGGCAGGCAGGCAGGCAGGCAGGAAGGAAGGAAGGAAGGAAGAAAGGAAATAAGGAGGGAAGGAGGAAAGGAGGAAAGGAGGGAAGGAAGGAAGGAGGGAAGGAGGGAAGGAAGGAAGGAAGGAGGGAAGTAGGAAAGGAGGGAAGGAGGAAAGGAGGGAAGTTGGAAAGGAGGGAAGGAGGAAAGGAGGGAAGGAGGAAGGAGGGAAGGAGGGAAGGAGGGAAGGATGCAAGGGGGGAACGAAGGGAAGGAAGGAAGGAAGGAAGGAAGGAAGGAAGGACCATGTGTGCAGTCAACACTTATCATCGGTTATTTGCGTTCATTTCATCTTCATTGATCTCCATCGCAACTTGTGCCTATGTACTTCTTTCGTGTTCTTTCTTGGTACGCATTGCAGGGGACCCCCCAACCCGCTTTTGTTTTTTCATCAGCTTCCCTTGCTACCTACTCTCTTGCCTTTTGCTCATAAGCATCGTTTCTTAGGGTTCATTTTCTCTCTCTTCTTCTTTCAAAATATCCATCGAGACTTGTGCCTATGTGCTTCTTTCTTGATCTTCTCGTTCTTACTTGCAATATATCCATTGAGATTTGTGCCTATGTGCTTCTCTCTTGGTACGCATTGCGGGGGGAGGCGCTGCGCCCTCCCCCCTGCACCCCCCCACCCGCTTTTATTTTTAAACCGGTTCCCCTTGCTACCTACTATTCCTTTCTTTTTGCATAAGCATCATCGTTTATTTGGGTTAATTTCATCTTTGCTGATATCCATCGAGACTTGTGCCTATGTGCTTCTTTCTTGATCTTCTCGTTCTTACTTGCAATATATCCATTGAGACTTGTGCCTATGTGCTTCTCTCTTGGTACGCATTGCGGGGGGAGGCGCTGCGCCCTCCCCCCTGCACCCCCCCACCCGCTTTTATTTTTAAACCGGTTCCCCTTGCTACCTACTATTCCTTTCTTTTTGCATAAGCATCATCGTTTATTTGGGTTAATTTCATCTTTGCTGATATCCATCGAGACTTGTGCCTACGTGCTTCTTTCTTGATCTTCTCGTTCTTACTTGCAATATATCCATTGAGACTTGTGCCTATGTGCTTCTCTCTTGGTACGCATTGCCCCCTGCACCCCCCCACCCGCTTTTATTTTTAAACCGGTTCCCCTTGCTACCTACTATTCCTTTCTTTTTGCATAAGCATCATCGTTTATTTGGGTTAATTTCATTTTTGTTGATATCCATCGAGACCTCTGCCTATGTGCCTCTTTCTTGATCTTCTCGTTCTTACTTGCAATATATCCATTGAGACTTGTGCCTATGTGCTTCTCTCTTGGTACGCATTGCGGGGGGAGGCGCTGCGCCCTCTCCCCTGCAGCCCCCCACCCGCTTTTATTTTTAAAACGGTTCCCCTTGCTACCTACTATTCCTTTTTTTGCATAAGCATCATCGTTTATTTGGGTTAATTTCATCTTTGTTGATATCCATCGAGACTTGTGCCTATGTGCTTCTTTTTTGATCTTCTCGTTCTTACTTGCAATATATCCATTGAGACTTGTGCCTATGTGCTTCTCTCTTGGTACGCATTGCGGGGGGAGGCGCTGCGCCCTCTCCCCTGCACCCCCCCACCCGCTTTTATTTTTAAAACGGTTCCCCTTGCTACCTACTATTCCTTTTTTTTGCATAAGCATCATCGTTTATTTGGGTTAATTTCATCTTTGTTGATATCCATCGAGACTTGTGCCTATGTGCTTCTTTTTTGATCTTCTCGTTCTTACTTGCAATATATCCATCGAGACTTGTGCCTATGTGCTTCTTTTTTGATCTTCTCGTTCTTACTTGCAATATATCCATTGAGACTTGTGCCTATGTGCTTCTCTCTTGGTACGCATTGCCGGGGGAGGCGCTGCGCCCTCCCCCCTCCCCCACCCGCTTTTATTTTTAAACCGGTTCCCCTTGCTACCTACTAACTATTCCTTTCTTTTTGCATCAGCATCATCGTTTATTTGGGTTAATTTCATCTTTGCTGATATCCATCGAGACTTGTGCCTATGTGCTTCTTTCTTGATCTTCTCGTTCTTGCTTGCAATATATCCATTGAGACTTGTGCCTATGTGCTTCTCTCTTGGTACGCATTGCGGGGGGAGGGCGCAGCGCCCTCCCCCCTGCACCCCCCCACCCGCTTTTCTTTTTTAACCGGTTCCCCTTGCTACCTACCCTGCTTCCTTTTTCATAAGCATCATCCGTTCCTTGAGCGCATTTCATCTTTATGGATATCCATCGAGACTTGTGCCTATGTGCTACATTACCTACTACCTACTCCCTACTACCTACTACCTACTACCTACTACTTCCTACTACTACTACTACTGCTACTACTCCTACTACTACTACTACTATGACTACTCCTACTGCTACCACTACTACTACTTCTACTACTACTACTACTATTACTATTACTATTACTACTACAACAACAACAACAACTACTACTACTACTACTGCTACTCCTACTCCTACTCCTGCTGCTGCTGCTGCTGCTGCTGCTGCTGTTGCTACTGCTACTGCTACTGCTACTGCTACTGCTACTGTTCCTACTACTAATACTACTGCTACTACTACTACTACTACTACTACTACCTACTACCTACTACCTACTACCTACTACCTACTACCTACTACCTACTACCTACTACCTACTACCTACTACCTACTACCTACTACTACTACTACTACTACCACCACTACCACTACTACCACTACCTACTACCTACTACCTACTACCTACTACCTACTACCTACTACCTACTACCTACTACCTACTACCTACTACCTACTACCTACTACTACTACCACCACCACTACGACTACGACTACGACGACTACTACTGCTGCTGCTGCTGCTACTGCTGCTAGTGCTGCTACTACTGCTACTACTACTACTAGTAGTAGTAGTACTACTACTACTACTATTACTACTACTACTACTACTGCTACTACTACTACTACTCCTCCTACTACTACTATGATATTTTTTTTGATACGGATATTTTTTTTGATCTAGGTTTGCAGCACGAAACCCGTGAGATCTCACACAGTGGCACCTGGATATTTTTTTTGATGCATATATTTTTTTTTGATGCGTGCTGGATATTTTTTTTGATGCATTTTATTCTTTTTTTGATACGTGTCTCGAACGAGATCCTCATGAATTGCCGGACAAAGCTGCCACAAATAGATGGCTGACGGGAAAAGACTCAAGCCTTTTGCGGTCACATTGCATTTATGATAGGGATGAATCTCCTTGTAAGAGCTAACTTGTTTTTTTGATTGTTTTTGTTTGAAGAGCTGATTTGCTAGGGTTTCATCAATGTGCTGTGGTGTTACAAGCGCCATGGTGGTTACAAAGAAATGCTATGCCTTCCAGATGTCTTAAACAGCAGTATCTTGGATGTGTTTCAAAATGATCCTTATCCGGGGCTTTTGTGTTTCGAAATGATCCTTATCCTCTGTGTTTCAAAATGAGCCTTATCCGGTGCTTCAAAATGATCCGGGTCCCGAAAATGGGGAGGGATTTCCAATCGCCCATAGAGATCTATAGAGGCTAAGTCCTATGCATCAATTTGGTGGGTTGGTGACTCCATACAACTGTACTTCAAATATTTGCCGCATGATATTTCCATTTATTCGACATATATATATATATATACACATACATACATATTATATATATAGTTTCATGTAGTTTAATGTAGTTTAATGTAGCTTAATGTAGTTTATCTACATCCATTCGGACATGACATGTATAGATGGATAGATTTGATAACTTTCGGTAGTTGGAATCTGCATATAGATGAAAAATGTAGATGAAATGTAGATTAAACTAGATATTTAGATAGATATTCAGATAGATATGATTTGCGTCAGCAGGTCGAGCTGACAGAAGCCCAGAAGAAGCTGCCCGATGAGCTGAAGAAGCTCGTAGGCGCCGTTGTTCCATGGACATTTGTTGATTTGTTCCATGGAAATGTGGGCGAAACAGTGGATAACAATGGATAACAATGGCTTATGGCATCTTATGGCTGTTTTTATTTGTGGTAAACTAGTAAACACATATGGCAAATTTATTGAAAGGTTCACCTTTTTTTTAATGTGGCCTTTGAAGCTGTGGCATTTCTTTGGCATCCCATCCGAGAGGGACGCCTTTTTCTTATGCACTGCCAAGTGGACCTTGATCACCATCCCTTGCAGGGAATCGTCCAATGCTCTGGTAACTTTTAGTGTGTTTGTTTTTTAAGTAGGAATATACACATGTCTGTATGCAGTGATTAATGTAGATGTAAATGGTAGATGTAAAGTAAGTGTCAATGGAAACATAATTTTAGTTTGGAAGGCTGTTTGCTTTCCCCATGTTTTCCCAGGCTTTTGAACCCAGATTTTCCGTTTGTCAGTCTTCCTGAATGTAAATGTATATGCAACTGTAAAGTATGTACCCTCTGGTAAACTAACATAACTGAGGAAAATCACCATTTTTTATGGGTAAATCCACTATAAATAGCCATTTTCAATAGCTATGTTGTTAGCCAGAGGGTATGTGTAGTCTAGAGCAAGAGAAAAGGAGATTGTTTGGGGGAGCGAACCAGCGAGCATACATGACAATGATGCGATGATACAACTAAAATTGGGGATTAGATAACTGGTTGGTGGTTTCAAACATTTTTTATGTTCCATTTCATATATGGGATAATCCTTCCCATTGACGAACTCATATTTTTCGAGATGGGAATGAGTTGCCAAAGAAAAATGATGATATCTCCTGCAGAAAGTGGACGGTTTTAAAAAGACACAAACGATCAGGATTTAAGGAGCAACATAAACTCGTTGATGTATCCAAAAGTCATGCGCATACCCTCTGGTTATGACTAACAGTTTGCCATGGAAAATCACCATGTTTAATAGGTAAACCATCTATTTCTATGGGCCATTTTCCATGGCTATGTTAAATAACCAGAGGGTAACTGGGAAAATAAGGTGATTCAACATATTCAACCAAAACCAAGAGGCGACATATCCGAGAAAACCCGGTTGAAGACGTGCTATACCAAATGATGGGAATAAAAATCCAGACATAACAGCTATCTTGGTGTGAAGAGGAGGGTACCAAGGCGAACAGCCCCATAGCCCTGTGTACATTCAATAAGTAATATGTGTATATATATATATATATGTACATACCATGTGTATCAAGAATTATACCGACAAATTTGCAGACATACATAGGATTAGGCATCGTTAATGATGGAGTCCCGCCATTTCATTCAACTTCAAGGTCTTCAAATCAGAGGTTTTCCAGGGTATCCGTTCTCACTGGCACTGATCTTGAAAAAGTACTCTACCTCTACAGTTTGCCATCCAACTTCAAGCAACAGTGGACAAAAGTTTGCCATTACAAGCTTTGACTTATTATTCTACAATTTGGTCGTATCAAATCTCCGTCCCAGTTGGAATGTTTGTGTTTTGCCATTTGTTACCACCATAAATGGCAGGAATGCTTCATTTTACCATCATTGTAGATTTCAAATGGGGGGATGACTTGGATGACTATCCCATTTCTTGATGGGCGTCTCGGAAAATGGAATGTACCACCACATGGCCATTTTAATACGGAATATTTTGATAAACCATGATAAACCAATGGATGGAATCAGGTATCCCATTTTTATACAAAGAATGGTTTTAACTTTGACGTTTTGACCATGGCTCATATGTGCCAGGGTCAAGTTAGTTGGATTGGATTAAGCCAGTCCTTGGGGGATGCTTACAGTATACCCATTACGTTTGGATTCCCATGGCATGGGATGGATGACCATGAATCATATTGATCCCATGTTTACTCCCATTGTTGATGATTGATCCCGATTATCCCTATTAATATTATAGTTTAATCTCCATTGTTGATGGTTAAATCCCATTATGGAATCCTGGTAACGGTTCCGGTAATTTAACATAGCGAAGTGGCAAATCACCATGTTTACCAGGTAAATCAACTATACATGGCTCATTTTCAGTGGTTTTTTTTTAGTTTACCAGAAGGCACTCCTGGGTTTTTCACATCGCAAAGTCCTGGGCTTTTCATCCGAGACCGCGATGGGTTCAGCACCGCGGAGGTGCGGAGAATGTGAGCAGCAACGTGAAGCTCAGGGGCTCCAGGTGGGTCATGGTTGTTGATGTTTTATTGGAGGAAGTAGCCTAACCTATATCTATATATATATATATATCATATGTATACATATCATATGTATATGTATATATATATATGTATACTTTATTGTGCACGCTATATTGAATTTATATTGTGCACATCTATACTAATACTAATATTAATACTATTAGTATTACTTTTTCTATTACTAGTACTATTATTATTACCATTCCCATTGCCATTACTATTACCATCACTACCACTACTACTACTGCTGCTGCTGCTACTACTACTACTACTTCTACTTCTACTTCTACTTCTACTACTTCTTCTACTACTACCACTACTATTACTACTAGTACAAATTACAAATACTATTTCTATCACTATAACTATTACTATACGATCCTGTACTATACTACATTCTATATATTCTATATACTATATTTCATAAAAATATTGTATATTTTATATACACTATATGCTATATGCTACACTATATTTACTTTGTTTTATTTGCACTGGTTTAAATTATATACACTATATGTTACCATATTTGCAATATATTGTCTATGTGTATGATATTATTGTTACATTTATATATGATATTCTATAGTGGATATTGTATATGGTTAATTTCATGAATGTGTATATATGTATATATCATTTATATAGGCATAATCTTAGACATATTGGATTATCATCATCCATGAACTGGGAATCCCGTTCTCAACCAGCCAGTATTTTATGAAATGACTGGGTTTTGAACACTGCTGGGACCTGAACAAGAATTATCAATCCCATTCAGCTAATATTACATACCCCGTCGTTACCCGTCGTTTCCATATTGGGGGTAGCAATTAGCCTTCTACCCCCGATTTGTGGCAAGGTCTATATATGTTAGTTGAAGGCAGGGTGATTAGTGGTCGGTAGTCAATTCAGAAATTCTGATCATATTGCGGTTCAAAGAGGCCCTTGTGCGCCTAATGATCTTGATGGGATGTGAATTCAGGTTCCAGGCACCACAGGCGGGATGAAGTGTGTGTTTGTTTACTGGCTGTATATCCAAACTGGCCAAAAGCGTGGTGCCGTTCGAAAAATGTTTCTGCACGGTTTCACCCCATTTCGTTCACACAGAAATTCTGGCCCTCTTTTAGAGACTGTTTTTTCTTAAAAAAAAAAGAAAAATCCCACCTTCACCGGCATGGCTAGATATCGCAAGTTCGCAAGTTGAAGAACTCTACGAGGCACAACCTTTGAATATCATCAGGGTCTCAAGACCATCGACCCCAAATTGGTGATCTACCATGGCAAGACCAGTTGCCCGTATGGTCGGTCCATGTCGCCATGTTGTCCCCAATCCCACTAATATCCCATTAGTATCCCACCAATATCCCATGATGTAATTTCCAAATATCCCATTTCCATCCTATTAATACACATATATATATATATAATGTATATATATATAGATATGTATATATACACACACATTCAAAACAATAGATCCAGAAAAATGTACATCCCCTTAGTATCCCCTTAGTATCAAGCCCCTGCTGCAGGTTGGGCAAAGGCACGGCCATGTTGGTGGCCAAGCCGCGCAGCCTGCGCGAGGCTCTGCGCACCCTGGAGCTCTGTGCCAAGGCTGATGTGGCGGTGCTGCCGCAAGGCCCCAGTCGTTGGGCCCCGGGGTTGGCAGTTGGGGGTTCCATCAAGGTACCCGGCCTGGTAAACGTTTACAGTTTGCTATGGAAAATTGCCATTGATAGTGACTTTTCCCATGAAAAATTGTGTTTTTTTATAGTTATGTTAACATAACTATGGAAAATCACCATTTTTAATAGGTAAATCAACTATAACTGGGCAATTTTCAATAGCAAACTGTAAACGTTTACCAGGCCGGGTCATGTGGGTAATTCCCAATGCCATTTGCACCATCCCCAAGTCATCATCATTTTTAGAGGTGGTATGTTTACAATTCCCAGTCATGGGTGGTTTATTATTTGTTTACCCACATTACCCCAATAGCTGGATGGTTTATAAATGTTTCTGTCATGGAAAATCCCATGAAAGTTGATGATTTGGAGGTACCCCCATTTTCGGAAACCTCCATTTAGGATATTTGGTGTACCCCAAAGAGAATTTTTGGAGCATTGTTGTCCGCCTTAGAACTGGTTGCATAAATGTGAAAAAAAAAACATGTTCAGACCCAGAGATCCCGATATCTAGGTAAATGACCACGTCACTGGGCATCACTAGAAATGATTCTTTATTAGCAAAGGTTTTCTATCACTATCCGAAAATTATTGTTTTTATTTTTCAGGTTGAATTGCAATGGTTTACCCAGCTATATGGCCATTGAGAAATGAGGAAAATGAGGTCTTAAAGCCCTGGATAGTAGCACTCCTGATGGCATAAACCTCCAGTTGTACATCTCTGGTCATATGTGCTGTGTTCTGGGTTCACTACATGGGGCAGCTGTGATTCTAAAAGAGCATGTTTTTGCTTACGGCCCGAAAACCGGCCCAGCGTTTTTGCGTTTTTTTGCGTTGTGATATGTGGGGGGGCGTGGGGTGGGGGGGGTGTAGTAACGTCCTGTGTCTACGTTATCATCGATTTTCTTGGGTGACCACGCTTCATGTTATGTTGCACATTTCTGTTGTACATCGGTGAACACACTTCATGTTACGTTGTACACTTCTGTTGTACTTCTGTGAACACACTTCATGTTACGTTGCACACTTCTGTTGCACTTGGGTGACCAAACTTCATGTTACGTTGTACACTTCTGTTGTACTTCTGTGACCAAACTTCATGTTACGTTGCACACTTCTGTTGTCCTTCGGTGAACACACTTCATGTTGCATTGCACACTTCTGTTGTACATCGGTGAACACACTGCATGTTACGTTGCACACTTCTGTTGTACTTCAGTGAACATACCAACAAGAATGAGGGTGAGAAGTGGGGAAAATGGGGGGTGAACCCATGAAATTGGAAACATGGAACTTCACAGACATCAAAGGGCAAGAATGTTTGGGTGCATCTGGGTGAAGCGATGTATATATGGATTTTAAGTGGAGATGCCTTTGGAGGAATCTTTCATCACCAGCTTCTTCACAGAATTGGTTATTCCGATGCGAAACAGACTTCTGAGAATGGACAACATCGGGATTAATTTGCGCACAACACGGGGTGGAAAGGCAAGCATGAGTATATTGCTTGCTGATTGAATTAGTGAATTTTTTAAATTCCTCAGATGGACATGTTCCAGCGCTTGGCAGAAGCAGTGGCTTCGCTGATGGCACAGGGCTCCTGAAATGCGATCCAGTGCTTTGTCCTCGAACCCTTCTCTGACTTCAGATTGGCCACAAGCTCAACAAAATGCTGGCGAAATGTCGGCTGGAACCATGGCTCAGTGCTTATCCGATAAGCTGCTTAGGAGCTACTGGTGGTGCACCTGTGGTGGCAGCGAATGAGATCGACAGCATTGAGAATTGATGATCCAAGTGGCAAATGTGGAGGATGCAATTTGGTCTTGGTCTCCACCGCTCTTGTCCGAAGCGTATCAAATTGTGTATTAATATCATTAGTATAATATACTATGATGATCAAAAGAAACAACAAGAAAGAAAAGTCACTAAAGTCATCAGTGGTTTAGTATGTTTTAGTATACTAATTGACTTTTAGTCATGTGTTTGGTGCTTGCTATATACATTTGTCACCCCAGATTTTTTCCCTCGTCGAGTTGCTTCAGCTTTCCAGGCGCCAATACCTCTCTGACGGGTGGCTCTGCACCTCGGCTATGAAGCTGAAAATCTACAGGAACCCCCATATTTCATGGGAAAAACCATGGTTTCCTGTGGATTCCCCCTTAAACTTTTGAAGCCATTGAGGAAATGCTCCAAAAGCTCAGGGAAAAGTGACCCAACTCGACCACTGACATGCACACATGAATGAAGCCCAATCAGACTCGACGCTGGTAAACCTTATACTCTCTACAACTGTTTTTTCTTAACGGACTTCAATTATCATTACAAAGTATTCCTTCAAGGTATATTATATATTGGTTGGTCTGTGTAAATCCAGCAGCTACAATCCGTCTAAACCAGACCAACCGAAACCTTAATTCTAACGCATCGGATATAAATTATTAAATTTACGTAACTAGTAGGCTGTTTGGTTTAGTGAACTCACAAAAGACATTATAGCATGATACAATACAACTATAGTTGTGTTGCGACATAAATAAGTTAAGATCACAATGTATTGACTGAAACAATTATCATGTAGAACAGATACAGCTATACACAACACCTATTACCCTTATAGCCTAGTTATGACGTAGTTAGAATATAGTGATGATATGTTTTAACATCCTTGCAATATGATTTGGTTCAGAACATATCGTTAGTTACGACATAGTCATAAGAGTTAGTACACTATAATGATGGATCAACATGTACATTAATAGTAGAGGATTCATAGGATTCTTACTGTATTATTCTATGTTTAGGATTATCGTATAGTTTTTGTTTTGATTCGATCATAAATCCAGTTTATATCATAGAAATAATAAACTATAGTGAATCATGTTACTTTCTATCCACACCATACCCACTGGTTATTCAATGTAGCTACAGAAAATCACCAGTTGGAATAGGTAAATCATCATACATCATCTATTTCTATGGGCCATGTTCATCCATTTTCCATGGCTATGTTAGATAACCAGATAGTAATGTTTTTATCTACGCCGTAGAGTTCTCCCTTGTGGATTCCGCCATGTTTTCCTTAAGGTGCCGCGCGATGACTGTGACCGGCCCTTCGTAACTGGTCGACCTGGACAAACTTGTGGGGGGACCCCAAATGTTTTTCAGTACCATCTGGTTATTTACTGGGGAAAATCCATTATAAATCCATTATAAATCTATTGTAAATCCCAGTAGCTATGGAAAATGAATTACAAAAGGAGGTTTATAGCTGGGAAAATTATCTGTTTCTATGGGCCATGGCTTCCATAGCTATGTTAAACAACCAGAGGGTAGATAAATAGCTTCAACCCCTGAATGTTCCCATCCAACGCGTGGAAATCTTGGAATCTGTTGGTCCGTTCACATTTTCTTGGAGTTGCGTGCCTTGAGTGAAGCACGCAAAATTGGTATGTCCTAAGAGAACAGGCGCAAATGGGAATTGCACTCATTGCAACAATGGTGGGCATGCAACCAGCATTCCTGGGGATTTTCTATGATTTTCTCATATTTTATCAACTATGGATTTCAAGAAACATTGATTTGGAAACACAGAAATAAGAAGAAAGGTCGCCAAAAAGTGGGACAATACGATGAGGATAGAAGAAACAATCACGCAGATATGTAAGTGGTGTATTTTGCAAACGTGTTGCTGCTGTAGTAGTGGCCTACTTTCGAGTCCGAGGTCATCATCAATATGCGGAAGGCCAAAAAGATTCTTCCAGTTTGGGCCTCAGTGGTTTTCCGCTGGGAAAACCTTCCACTTGAGAAGCGGGTCCATGGAGATGGGTGAAATCACCAAATCACCGCGGTGATGCCCTCAGGAATTATTATGAAAACAACTGCACTCCAGGGTATATCTAGGGCCATGAAGGTGGGAATTTCAAAAACTGTTGTATTGGTCCACCCTGAAAAGCCACCATCATGGTTTTTCTTGAAGTATCACTGTTGATGGTTTCATTCATCTTTGATGCTACTTGAATATGTTGCAACACATTGGAAGATGAATCCCAGTATCACCTCATCCCAATCCAGCCATGGGATTGATGATTTTTTTAATGGCGTACTGGCCATATCACTGGGTATGACTGATTATCAACATGGTTCATAACCATGGTACATAAGCCAGTTACCATACAAGCCAGTGATACATGGGATGAATGGATTAGATATTGAATTGACCACTTCTCAGTTGCAATGAATATCGGAGTATTGTATCGCCATTGTCCCATAACATCTCGTCCCATATCCCCTTGTATCCCTTAATCTACTATACCTCAATCTGTGGTTCACTCTCCTACAGGAAATCAAGCCCTTACGTCCTTCCCCTCAATATCGAATGCCCCCTTAAAACATCTCGCAGTCCTGGTTTAGTTTTGGATTGATTCATGTTGAGGTCTCGATAATTGGCTGTAAAACTATTGTGTTGTTTATTGTTCTAATTAGTTTTGATTTATTTCTCATAAATTGATGATATCCGATAAACATATATAAAAATCCCCATATCGTGATATCCCCATCATATTTTTCCGGGAAGGGACTATGGGATGCCCCTAGCGCAACAGGTGGGCTCAAGCCCAGAACTGGCGCTGTGTTTTGCGGGCGCAGGGATCTATCAGCTTCAAAGCGAGCTGCAGAAGCGTCACTGGGAGTGGACCAGAGGGCTTGGACCCTGCAAAAATGAGCAGTGGACCCACATGGGAACTGTTGTTTTTAGTATCTAACCACATCAAACCATTTTTGGGAGGTATAGGCCGGTATAGGCTATTTTTTTGGCCATAACCACATGTATTCCAAGATAAAGTCGTGGTGAGTGATTCATGATAGGTGTTCATCAAATTGAGAGCTTCAGTGGCGTGACTAAAGATGATACGCGCTATCCATGTGATACTCATGCTACCTTTCCCATATCAGAGCCCGAGACAATGTTAATTGGGCATTGCGGATTCTGGGTGTACTGTCGTACAACAATCTTCAATGGATAGGTCAAAAATAATGTATTTCATTGCTTGACATTGCCTCAGAAAAAGCACGTTTCGCCACAGGAAAAAATGCAAAATTCGGTAAATATGTTTACTTGTTAGACTTGTTTCCTTGTCATTTGATCAAGCCGTCTTGCTTCAAGATGACCAAATTCTGTGGTTCTTGTCAGCTCTCCGCTGTTAACCCCATCGCGTGGTTCATGCCACGAAAAAGAAGAAACACATGTGGCTTTCGCCAGGGCCCTGGGGATGGCTTCCTGAAACATCCCGCATTTACTTCGCTTCTTTTCCCAACTACTACTTCGCCTCCGTTTTGTTCGAGGATTTCCCAGCCATGTTGGATAACACGTTTTGGATTTCCTCTGCTTATCCCATTTCCGAGGATCAAGAGATTCCCACAGCGTGTTGGGGTCCATCTTCCTGAACCCCTCGGTGGCTGCTGGAGTATCCTATGGATCCGGTGGCACGCAGATCCGGAAGGCGCCTTTTTTTTTGAGATCTGAATTCATGGCCGTGTTACCATAAACTTCATGGGATTCAATTGGATTATATTAATATGGGATTAACCTCCATAACATGGGATTATTATCCATTAACATGGGATGTTAATGGATATTATGGGTTTTTTTATGACGAATTTGAATGGATATGTTCATAGAATTCACCAAAGATTCGCTGAAAATTGTGTCTGAAAATGGGGGTGTAATTTCAATGAATGGCCATGCCAATAGGAAAATTACATATTTAACAATTGCATTTGGGGATACCCTTGTTTTGGACAAACCCATGAATATACTAACCTTGTCTTCAAAAAAGCATATTCTTCAGGGTGGGATTTGTGGGTCCAAGAATACACATGTCCCTGATTTTCCCACAATGTGGGATGAACATCCACTGTTCCAGCGACTATTTTGATTGTTTCAATCAGGGTACCTCGGGTGAACATCGGTTTTTTCTGATCAAAAAAATGTATTAAAAATGTCCCCATGGATGTCCAACCCATAGGATCCATGTATGGTATATATAGTATTATATAGTAACATTGGGGGTATATTGATGGGATTCATGTTACCATATATACCATACATGGATCCTATGAGCAATGGTTACCCTCTGGTAATTTAACTATAGCTATGGAAAGATCCACCACCATGCTATCAATGGGAAAATCCACTATTTCTATGGCCATTTTCAATAGCTTTTTGTATGTTTACCAGGCCGGGTAAATATGGTTAATGTGCTGACACCTACGTGGTTTATGGCGGGCTCTACCAGAGTGGAACTCTGGAACTCTTCGAACTCGGTGGACTCGGTGGATTGGGGGGCACCGAGAGGCATGGCCAGCTTGAACTTCCTTTAAGATTGGCCATGCAGATATTCGTTTAACTAATGTTTAACTAATTTTTAACTAATGTTTAACTAATGTTTAACTTAATCAGTGATCCTGGTGTCATGTGCTATCATGATCTATCATGTATATACCCCGCATCGTTGCTTCGATCAGCTCGATCCCGAGTTTTGTCTACACGCCAAATCCATTGTCTCTACGAATGGCCCTTATCTCCAGCAACAGATATTCGATCACATCGAGATTCAAGACCATCTCACTGCATCGAAATCTGAAAATGACATTGCTGCAAGCAGGTGTATTTTTGATTGGTTTGGCCCATGTGTGTTGTTGGTTAATGTTGGTTAAACCTCCGTAAAAACTGTTGAATTCTTGAAGCCCGCATTCATCTTTTGGAAACTGGGAGTTTCGGTAGTGAAGGCCAACTCACCTTGGGCAAAAGTTCCCGATTTTTGTCAGTGAAATTCGCATTGTTTTTTTTGTTGAAATCCTCAACCCCTGTTGGTAAACCCGTTATTGCTGGAATAGCAAGAAATGGTCGTGAACTCAAGAGTGTTGGTATGGTAAAATCATGTAAAGTGTAGATTGCTGGCTCAATTTCATAAGCGATCTTTTTTTGGGGGGCTGATGTTGTCACAGAAAATCTGATAGGTGTAAATCCCCAACTGGTTCGGAATTTCATCATCCCAACTGACGAACTCATATTTTTCAGAGGGGTAGGCTCAACCACCAACCAGTTAATGAAATGATGCTTTTGTACCTTTCATATCCTTTGGTTTCTGACATCTCCCCTTTGGAAACGCGGCAGGGTCCCGCCTTCACGGAGCGTGCTCTCTTTTGTCGCGTGAAGGCGGACGGCGAGGCGCGACGATGTGACCAGGGATGCGACCAGGGATGGGGGCTTTGCCATTTGGAGAAGTCAGCCACCGGCCAGTGAGACACGAGATATCATAGGATGTGATGGAATATACTATTATCACCTTAAGTTGATTTGGTGGTTTTCAGACATGTTTTTCATCTTAAAACATTCTTAAACCCATTAGGGATGATGGTCTCAACATGTACGGCTTCAAACCACCAAGCAGTATATCGACGGTGAGCCCCCGAGGACTTTCCTTTCGGGTGGTTTTCCAATAGGAGACCCAACAAAGATCCAAGGCTTGTCATGTCGAATCGGGAAACCAATGGTTCTGGAATACCCACGAATACCCCAATGTTCGGAAACACCGATTTATATAGTTGAATAAACCAAATGTTGCCAAACTCGGTTAGGTTCTCCTTGGGATATTTGTATGAATCGTCTTAAATGATGTCGCACTTCAGTACCAATTGAATATTTTTACAGGGATTTGCTACACCACCAATCAGATAATTCAGATAGTGGATGTTCATGATGGTAAATCGGGATGTGAAGAAACAAGAATGCTAGTGCACTGTATGAATGAGAGGTGAAACAACTGCATGAAGGACAAATTTAGATGTTCTTTGCTTTAAGAAGGGATCCAAAAAATCGCTGCAAGAGGAAAATCAACTGTTTTGCAGAGTACTGGTTGCTCAGTTCAAGTGCTCAGCGTGCTCATTTTTCACCACTGAAATGTTGGGGTTCACCGGGTTCACCCACCACCGGCCAGGTCGAATTGGTGGACACCCTGGGACTCAAGCTGAAACTTGATTTGGATCATTGGAATCATTGGTGCGTGGTTTCAAAGATGTTGTTTCTCCATCAAAATAGCGAAAAGCACCAGACAGATCAAAACTGTGGAGTGCTTGAGCTAGACCAGTTTCTCACATGCCAAAAGCAACAATGGGCGCAGCATGCCGATGTCGATAGTAGGGCAGTGGCAATCCAAATGTCAACCTGATTGATTCTGTCGTCAAGCAAGACTTGACTGGTCAGCATTCAAACTCACTTCCGGATTACAAGGCCAATTAATTACGCAGCAATTCTGCGGGAAGCAAAGACTCAAAATGCAGAGAGATGTGGCATTGCTTTTCGTCCAGCAGGTGTTCGCAAAGGGCCCTTCAGTGGATGTTCATCATTATATTCTTGGTGAATCATGTGGAATCGATGTTTGTTGGATTATTGATCCACCAAGAGGCAGTACTGATGTTCTTTTGTGGGACGTGGACCCTTGTCCTTTTGTCCTACATTAAAGGTTTTGCCGTGCAATCTCACGTGTCTCCCCTGTTCCTCACATCATGTCATTTTCACTTGGCTATTCGCAATGTATAGTAAAGTTCCGTGAGTACTGCCTGTGATTTACTATCATCAGTACTGATTAGCTAGGTGTTATGCCAATGTGCATCTGCATGTCTAACGTGTTTACCTTATACTTGTTAGTAACTATATAATCAGTAGTTAATGCGTAGGGGTTGTTTATTGAGTATACACTGAGTATATCATCCTTTTCTGTCGGTCAGGAAAGGTGAGAAGGCCTTAGACTTCCTGGACTCCACAGAGCTTCTTGGCTGAGCTAAGCCATAGGAAAACTGAGGAAATATAGCTAGTGAAGCCTTTGTTTGTTGGTCATTTAAGGGCGCAGTACTGCCGCACTGCCCTGTTGAATGATGTTGAATGGGATTCGAATTTGAGTCGTTTTCGAAGATTGGTCTTGCGGATGGCTGAAATGCTTCATGGATTCATGGATGATTAGGTTCTTTTATGTTATATCATTAGGTATAGTCCATAATATATTAGTTAGCTATATATTATTATTAGTTATATTATTGGAATATATTATTGGAATATGTTAGAATTAGAATGAGTCCATAGTTGCCCGAATTGGTTTCAAAGAATCTGCGGGAAAGCCAGGACCTTGACGGAAGCGGATTTGGATCCATCCTGACACTTGTTCCAAAAACGTGGCCTCTGGGAAGTTGTGAACCCCAAATATGAATCTATGGGATTTCAGACTCAGATACCTATTGGGTGTATTTTGCAGAGTTCCCAATTTTCTTGGTTTCCCAAAGTTTTGTATGTGTGATACAAGGTGGTGCCCCCCAGTTATGCTTATTGGTTTATATTCACGCAGTTTATTCGTTCGATATTTCCCCCTTTTCAACTCACGCTAGTTATGGCTCCCAATTTGCCTTTCACAAAAAGGGGCAGAAACTTGTACTTTTGATAGTGGTTTGGGCTCAAAACCTCGTCCTTAGAGTTGTGTTCAGGAGTCTACGAGGTCTAAATATGGGGTAAATCAACCATGAGTCATATGATATGGCATTATATGGGTTTGTCTGCAAATGGTATATGCCATTATGCCTTTGTTTGAAAATGGAGTTGCCCTAGAATCTACATGCATCTACTAGTTGATCATCATTCTCTTCGGTCAGGATAGCCATTGGCAGGTAAGTTGCCGGCCTCCTGGCCCCAGTATCGGCAACTTCTAACGAAGCTGGAAGACAAGGCACCGCGTAGCATGCGTCGCGTAGCTCATGGCTGAGCATGGGGGATGTTCCCAAAAAATAGGGAAAACCTAAGAGATACCGCCTCACTTGTGTGGCCATTCTAGATGATAAACCATGATAAACCATGTTGAATTTTGAGTACTGTAGCTCTTTTTGTTGACACACCCAAGTAGTGGGGGTTGAAAGTGGGCAGTTCCACCTTAGCTGGGGTTAGATGTGGACTACCTTGGAGACTCACCCATCGATGTTGTTGTATACTGTGGTACGTTTTGGTATGTTGTGGTCTGTTACAGTATGCTATTGTAATCTATTGTATATTACAGTATGTTATAGTATGCTGTAGTGTATTATAGTATCCACACGTAGAGGTTATGATATCCATAGAGATATCCCATGCGTGTATGTATATATATATATATACTGTATGATTATCTACATCAATGTGAGTAAAACTTAATACTATAATTTGATATATTTTGATGGTGTATACCACCCATTTATGATAAAATTGAGGATGGTGGATCCTAGTGCTTGAACGGCGTTGCGTTGCGGTTGTTCACGGCGGTCAGGTCTCCCGTTTCAATGCGGACACCACTGGGGTGGACTGCAACCGCTCGGAGGGCAAGGTGTTCAGCTTTTTTTCGGCTGGTGAACAGGATCCACCATCCCCAATTTGACCATTTTTATGGGTGCTGTAAACCATCAAAATATAGGTGGTTTATGGTGGTTTACTAACATTACAGTACTTTAACAGTTGATGCTTTACTATTGTTACTAACAAAGTATGTGGTTTATATTTTTTTAAAACTAACAGTACTTCTGTTCATTTTATAGGAGTTTCATGGGAGTTTATGGGATTTACCCTCTGGTCATTTAACAGATGATGGAGTTGATTGGTGGGTTGCTCTCAATTTCACATAGCTATGGACAATAGCTTGTTTATCAATTATGTACTTCTTAGAAATGGTGAGTGTCCATAACCATGGTAAATTACCGCTAGCATATATTTTTGGAGTTGTACTAAGTGGCTCTTTTTGGGATTATGAACTAACCCACAATAGGAATATGTACTAACCAGCCAGTGACTGATGGAATTTTCGTGGTATGTGTCATAGCTCTGATGGTTGGGACCGTTACTTGACAGTGACTCAATGCTACTACTCATTGACTGCGGGAAAAAAAATCAATCGAATGGTGCACTTACAAACATAGGGTTTTTTCACAAAGATTACTCAGTGCTGCTGCAACCATTTGTAAAAAAATGATAGCGACAAGTAGGGGGTAAACTGTTGATTTTACCACGAATTTTCTGAAGGGAGCAACCTTGGTTTTTTTCTATGAAACTGTTGAATGGGATACATATGTAATCATATGATATCATATGTATATAGATATATATGTTAAATATGGTTGTATCAAAATATGTATATGTGTATTCACATATTCTTCTTGTTCTATAGGATTTTATCATTTATCATGGCGATGTGATACTCGAGATTCTTTCTTGCACCTTCTGGGGAAATCCCCCAATTTTTATGGAGTTTTTGTGGTGAAAATTTTCAGATTTTCTCCATGGCTCCATGAAAAACTCCATTTTTTTATGGTGACCCAAAGGGGCCATAGAAATGATCTACAGATGCTGGATGTTCTATAACTATGTTAAATCACAGAGGCATACCTGGCGCTTGTGTCTCTCATAGGCTGGCGGTGTCAATTTAAAAAGCTAAATCGTGCCCGGTACAAGATGAAACCAAGTGACTTTGATGGTTTTTGGGGTAACCCAATCAACCAATTCCTTTCTAGTGTTGATCATCTCCCTATATTCTTATATGATATCAGTAGATCAACATATTAATGTTAATAGGAATATAACAAATATACCATACAGAGATATATTTATTTCTATATTGTTAGATGCCTATTTGTTGTTCAATAGATCTCTGTTTGTAGATGATTTTCCTCTAGTTGACCATGAAAGATGATCTTTTTCATAGAATATCCATTCCCTCATTGATGGGAATTCCATACCCATCTCCTGGTTCATTACCATCAGTTGATATCCCTATATTATTGGATGATGGGAAAATGATCAAGATAAATTCCATGAATAAATTCCCTACATTTTGGGGGGATGAAAACCCCATGGTTTCCCTTTGTTCCCTCCAAAAACGGGCCCATTGATGACGCTCACCACGTCTTGGAGGTGCTCATCTTGGCCACGCTGCACGACACCTTTCCCATGCCCAAAGAAGTCAAGACTGTGCCCTGGTGGAACCGTGGTGAACCGTGGTGAACCATTGAGCAATTCGGAGTTTTACCAATAGATATTGGGTTTGTCCTCAAAGATATGGGTTGACCGGGTTGACATCTTAAGCCTAAAAAAATTGTTTGATTGGTTTTCGGGAAGGGCTGGCAATATGTGTTTTGGTACTAGTATTAGGTACCCTCAAAAAAACGTGCCGATTCACGAACACATCCAATACATTCCACGAGGGTTTCCTTTGGCGAATTGACGATCCTGGAATGACCTGGAAGTGAAGAAAACCACGTGTGCTTCCATCGTGGGGGATGTACCCCAACCACTGGCTTCAGAGCTTACATACATATAAATACATATAATATGATATATGAATATGAATAATTCTGGTAATGATAATGATAATTTACTGATAATAATAATGATGATATAATATATATGTATATGTATTTTTCCCTTTTGGTTGGCTTACTTCTCATCACTTGATGCAAGATCCAGGGAAAATCTCCAGTCGAAGCAGATGATCCGGAAATGGCGAAGGTTATAGAACCTGGTCAAATAGGAATAATGAAAATTGTTAAAGCCAATGATTATGCAACTTTCAATAGGGGTATAAACAATGACGAAAGATCGCTTGTTAACGTTTGATTTATAACCATTAATTAATCCCTATGGATTAAATCTAGTTTATGTTCATGATTAATGATTGATTACACCCACTAGTTAATATCCAGTAGTTACTCTTATGGGTTCATCATTTAATGCTGATACCGATTGAATGTCAACCCCGGATTAATAAGCCCGTGTGTTCTTTGACTGGGGGGTTACCATTTTCGTAGCAGATCGGAACGAAAAATTGTGGGGGAACTCCGATCTCCAATCAACCAGATTGTGATTAATCAATCGCATAAAAAAAATGTTGGTTATATAATATAAGTTATATATCCCATTACAGTCCTATAAAATATCCACATTGGAATAGCCCCTTTGTGCCATGTTTAGGGGCTTGACATTATACAAATCAGATTCACATGACTTCTCATTGGTTTAATTGAGAGAAAATCTGCAGGAAACTGGTAAAAACCCTGGTTTCCTCTAGATTTTCCTTCAAGAATCCATTGATCGGATTGGGGGCCCTGACCTGGATGTTTCAGGTCTGGGCCTCCTGCAAAGACATCACTTTGGCGCATCAGTTGAAGCGCGAGGTGGGAGCCTAAGCCACCTAAGCCATCGGCCCTGGAGGTATAACAAGTTCATTGCGACTTCACTGTAAGTCATGGTTGGTAAGGGGTGACTCTACCCAAAAGGCCGTATTGCAGGTGGTGAAGTGAATGATTATAATTTGTGTAGATAGAATTAGATAGATGTGTTATTTTGGATGCATCAGACACCATAGATGTTTTTGGGGTGTTGCTAATTGCCTAGCCATTCGCGTTGTGTTTTTTGCTTGGGAGCATCTGAAAAAATGCCTGCATTCGCACAGATATCCAGGATGTTGAGCCGTATCTGCTTGCTGGTTGGGGATGGTCTCCTTGAAATCGACAGCACAGTCCTTTGCTTTGCCTTGGATGGAACAAATGATAATTTTAATGGGAGCTCACATTAATCTGACAGAGGTACTTCCGTGTGCATATATGTATTTATATACATATTTACAAATATATAGATATAGAATATAATATAATGTATAAATATATATATATAGATGGTCTCCAAGCAGACAAATTGAAGTTGTAGGAAAAAGACGGAACGTGTTTCTATCTATACAGGGTCCTCGATCATTTTCCTGGTAATGGAGGTTTTCTGTTCAAATGAGTGACTTTGCGATGGGCTGGTGGCCCAAGTCCTCCTTGTTTGAGGGTAAATCCGGGTTTTGAGTTGAAAGGGATGACACCGGGTCCCAGACCCTACCAGCCCAGCATATCCAGATTCATTTGGTTCTAACTCGCTTTCAACTCGGAAGTGCCGGCATTTTATGAGGTCTGCATCTCCTCCCCAGAGAAGATGGCAAAAAGTTGTGAGTCTGCTGGCAGAAAACGCTGGACCCTCGAAGTGGGCAATCGGGCTATTGCATCAATCCATTATTTTCTTCAGGCACATCATTGTATTTGGTGCCGGAACCTTTTTTGCTGAACTAATCATGCATGGAGACTCAAGTCTGATTTCTGATGTTTGCAGTTAGACTACCAAGAAGGAAGAGGACACTTGGCTTGCTAGAGGGACACTTTGCAAAACAAGTTCGAGGGACCCGGATTGCTCGCATTTGCTCAAGAACAAAATTCTGATGCTCGAACACATTTGATCATTTGGATATCCCCTTGGCTGAATGGGCAGCGAGGTGCAACCCCACAATACACCACCAGTGAATCAGCAGTTTGCTTGATAAATCTATATTTGGTAATAATTCAAGTAATCCAATTCTCCTGATGAGAAATTCCCCATCCCAAAATGAATAAATCCAATGCCAAACCGGAGTTTCCTTGGGCATTTAATGTTGCAACTCACTTGTCCGCAGGAAAAGGAACTTGAACAATCCGTTGAAATCGTCTGGTGTTTCCATGTCCTTCCTGCAGGTACATCAACAAAGCCACCTATGATGCAGTCGACCAAAGTGGACGAATCTTGATCAAGATGTGTCTTGGACCCATGAAGCATATGACTCATATGACTCATACGTCATGGCCTGAATATGTAATTTATTATATAATTTGAAACGTCCTCGAATCAGAATATCCATGATCGGGGCTTGTTTGAAAATAGAATACCCAAAAAAAATGATGGTCAATCACCGTTGTTCCTACCGCAGTGATCATTTTGGGTATGCATCATTTTCAGTCACACCAAATCATGATATTGTTGGTTATACATCCCATTCACAACCTTATTAATTAGAGTATTATATATATATATCGCAGTAGAATTCCATTGAATTCCTATTTTGAATGGACAACTCATTACTGCAAATCATATGAATCCCCACTCGCCACTCGTTTTGATCTAACTTGGTCAACGTCTGGGACCATTCAGCGACGAGGATCGAGCTCTTGGGGATGATGAATTTGGAACCACTGTGGAATCTCAAGCTCTTCATCGAATCGGTTGCTTGATGCTGGGGTTCACCCTAGCGGAAACCCTACGGGTTGCCGGTGTGTCAGTGGGTGCTGCACAGGGGATCAAAAGGGTAGAGATATGTAGAGATGCAAAAGGTATATGAACCCCGTGGCATGGATATATTTGTAGTGTGTATATATATATATACACACCAAAAAGATTCCGACAAGTAAGGAAAGTATTTCCAGAATGGTAATCTGGTAATTCGATGATGTGATCCCTATAATTTCAGATTCATATCATGTCCAGGTGTCCCACTGTTCTGAGGCACCAGCCTGGATGAAAGGAGTGGAAATCCATGTGTTTTTTTTTGGAAATGATCTACCTTCATGGCAAATTTTCCATAGATTTTCCATAGGTATGTTATTAGTTTACCGAAGATTAGGGGGTAATCCCATGGCCCATTGTGTATGAAAGGTACGAACTAAAGTAATCGATGGAATCGGGTGGAAATGGCTAATGCATCAAAGAGTCCATTGATTTTGCAGTGCCAAAGCCACCTCCAAGGAAAATGACCTTCACCTCCAGCTACTTTGGAGGATCCTCTTGATTTAAGATGGAACCCAACAGTTGTGCCTTATCCAGTGAGAAAAAACAATCATCTACTGTAAATGGGCACCCGCAAGTTTCAGGTTCCATGTGTTGAAGATGTTGGGGGTACCAACACCAGCCCGTTTTTTTTTGGGTACCCGGGGGAGGTTCCGGTGCCTTTTTCCACCATCATCTGCGACAAGTTCCTGTGGTGGTTCAATAACATCTTGCCCAAGTCCTTGCCCCCCGAGCTCCAAAAGTTGACGGATGAGTTTGATCCTTGGACAGACAGTCCGTCGGGCGGGCAGCGACAGGAAGAATCGGCTTGTTGATGGTTGACCAACACCAACTGGGATAGAATGTGGGGCCAATGTGGGGGCATGTTCAATCAGATGGGTGAGTATAACCAAGCTAGCGGCATGTGTGAAGGGTCTCATCCAGTCTCAGACTCCAAGGTTTTTCTTTGAGACTCAACAACTGCGCATGGGGCTGCCACGTAACACACGACCAAGCCAGGAGGCAACAAGTTTCCACACGTTGAGCTTTGTTTCCGGCGTTGGATTGATCCGGCCCGGATGAATTTTGACACCGGGCCGAAAAGCTCTGCGACTGATGGTTTGTATTAGGAAATGCCCAAACTCACTAAACAGTAGAAGTTAGTGATCTACATTTTTTCAATGTCTCTTGCTTGATGTTTGCCACCTCAACGATTGTAACGAGACTTGTTATATTCATAGAGTGGGAAATCTAAGGCTCAAGGATGGCTAAGGGATCTAGAGAGAAAATACTATAGCTTTGTCCAGCTCGAATCTGTCAAGTCCAAGTAGTCTTCGTTCGGCCAGATGGGGTAGACACTGCAATCAAATCAATCAATGCTGAATCTGTTGCTCCTTTCCTAGTCATAGTCGTTGTTTTGTACAGATCACCCCGTCGTCGCAGCGTCCCCTGCAGCGTCCTTAGGACCACCACATGCTGATGGAATTCGCTGAATACAGCGACGGATCTTCGGCGATCCAAGTGGATCCGAGCAACTGTGGAAATGTCCGAAAAGAGGTTTTTGAAGTGAAGTTTAACCTTCCCAAAAAAAATGAAATCACATGCAAAAAGTAGCGTCCTTGTTTGAGGCTCCTTACTAGTACCTTTAGAATGGCAGAGAGCAGCTGCGCAAGTTGCCGTCAGTCTCGCAGGATGAATGAGAACAAGGAAAGCCAGCACTAGTAGCAAGATTCGCAGAAATCGATTGCGTTTAGGTCAGGTTCTCAAGTTTTCTCCGGGTCAAGGGTCGTGCTGATGACTTCAAGAACAGTGAAAACACCACAAATTCTGGGACCCAAAACTAGTCGATGTTTTCTCGAAATCCCAACAAATGATTTTGGGAAACCGATGACTTCCAGGTTCCCCATGTTAATCGATGTTAAACCGACCAAACATTGAGGTATGTTGAGGTCATGATTTGAGAGCTGAGGAGAGATCGAACACCTGATGTCGCGGTTGAAGAAATTTCAGTCTCAACATCCAGAGACGGTACGGTTTCATGTGTGCAACTTCATCTGCAGTGGGAGTGGCCCATGTTCTTTGAGGTGGTGCCCCAGGTTCTTCCATAGTTTTGGGTTCATACCCATTTGATTGTGCCCTGAATCTCCATGTTTATCCCTAGCTGCCCTAGCTTTCACCACAGGATGGATTTGTGCGGAGATAAGGAGTTGTCACTAGTGTAAGAAGAAAAAATGCAGGAAAGCCTTAGAATTAGCGGTTAAAACCATGGTTGCCTCTAGAGTGTCCCATAAATTATGCCATGGAACATGTGGTGTGGCATGAGTTGTTTTATCCTGATTTTTGTCCCCTTACACATGCCATTTTGAGGATAACGAATGGTAATACCATGATATACAGGAGGTTCAAAGCAAAATTCAATGTGTCGTGCCAGCAATCAACTCCTGGTTGGTGGTTTGGAATAATCATCCCAACTGACTAATATTTTTCAGAGGGGTTTGACACCACCAACCAGACTCTAAGTTCGTGGCAAAAACGGCTGAGGCGAAGACCCTTGGAGTGCGCAACGTGCCATGCTCTTTCGTTTCGCCGTGGCGCCAGCCTTCAGGACCTACTGCATAGGCCGGTGGCCGATGATGCGCCGCTTGTAACAAGGTCCATTGATTTTAATGGGGAATCAAGATGGATGAAGTTGTATCGTATCATTATATATGTTTGGGGAGATGATTATTCATGGGGATAAATGGAGTTGGGGTCACAAATAGAGTACCAAAGGAACCAGAACATGTGTAAGTTTCCAAGTTTCCATTTCAAAGTGGGTGATTTACAGCCTGATATGGACCAGCCTAGAAGAATGCCAAAACCAATGCCAGTATGAAAAATAAATGATGGCTAAACATGTTTTCTCCATTTAAATGGCCATATGTTAAGGTATCCCGCATTTTCAGACAGGCCCAAATACAGTAGTTATCTGTATTTATAAAATTGTTGGTGATATAAATTATGTGTATATTCATGGCCTAGTAAGGTCCCCCCCCCCCCTCTGCCCCCCTGCCCCCCCCCCCCTCCCCCCCCCCCAGAAAGGTCCGAGGCCCTACTAAGGGCTTACCAAGCAGTCCAACTCACTAGAGACTCGCTAGGGACTCGACATCTTACTAAGTGCTTAGTAAGGCCATATCTCTGTAGTTGACATTATTTCAAATATAGCACACCAATGCAGGTATTCACTCAGCTCATCACGTGATTCATTCATGTTTTTCCACAAGGGTTTTCCTTCTTGTCAGTCTGGCCGTTTTGGCCAACTTATTTTTTTGCTCTTTTGGAGCCACTTGCTGGCTCTGGTGCAACACCTCCAGCCCGCTTAGGGGCGGAAGAAACCTCAGCAACACACTTCTCCACGCACTTCTGGACTTCTGCACGGTCAGGCCTTCAGGCCCATGGGTTAGCCCAGTATGCGTATATCTTTCTGTGTGTGTTTAACACTTATTTTTTAAGTTTGAAGGCCAAAGTTTAAAGCAATATCATAAAAAAGTTTTCAACACCAGGCCTCAAGCTAGCGTCACCAGCATTCCTCCCTTCAAACAAGTGGAACTCCCACAATGCTTGTACCACAACCCAGCATGCGTCTGCTTCCGAGAGGTTGCCCCTGACTCCTCCATATCTTGCCGACTTGTACTTCTGCATGCCCTCGATGTCATCTTAGTAGTTGAGCTGCCACTGTTGGCAAACAAGGTCAATGTCAGAAATCAGAGGTGCCTATGCATCTATGGATGTATGTATGTATGTATGTATGCATGGATGTATGGATGTATATATGTATGTATGTATGTATGTATGTATGTATGTATGTATGTATGTATGTATGTATGTATGTATGTATGTATGTATGTATGTATGTATGTATGTATGTATGTATGTATGTATGTATGTATGTATGTATGTATGTATGTACATATGTATGCATGTACGTACGTACACAGGCACGCTTGCATGTGATGATGTGATGTGATGTAATGTGATGTGATGTGATGTGAGTGACGTGATGTGATGTGGTGGCATTTGAATATTGCTGCAAGGTAACGCTAGTAAAGTGCACCTGTCTGTTTGTCATGTCTACGTGTGTCTGCGTGCATGCATGTATGCCTGTATGCCTGTATAATGTAAATGCCTTTATGCAAATATCAATGTCTGGATATGTGCATATTTGTGTGTACTGTACGTTACGTTTGTTCCTGTGTTTTGTATGTATATGTGTGTGTGTGTATGTCCATGTCAACGCGAAGCTTCCAAATCCCCCGCCAGGACGCATTAGAATAATTATGGACCTTTTAAGCCAAACAAACTTTGAAACAGACAGCCTTCAGTCTAGTAGAATTTAAAGCAATGGTAGACTTCTGCACTCAAATCATGTTTCAAGCCACGGTCATAGAATCCAGTGTAGGTCGACTGGCCAGGCACCCTTTTGATGTAAATGTACTTCTCCGTGGGGGGCAGCAAAGATTTGAACTCGGATGGTGTGTAATTTTCCTTTTTCCACCCGGAAGTTGGCTCAGCTTTTGCCTTTGCCTCTGGAACATTCCTGCTCTTTCCAATAAGCAGCCGCTCAAAGCACTCTTGCCGGAGGCCCTTAGCATCAATTGCATTCTCTGGGTCAAGGCCGGAAATGACTTCAAGGAGGCCTTCGTCACAAGCCCCATCGACATCACCTCCAGTTGATTTGTGGGAACTGCGCTCATTTGCAAGCTGGAACGCAATCAGCCTTGCCACCTCTTGCTCGCTAGCATCTGGGAAAAGGTGCTTGATCAAGTCTTTGACCCAGGCAGGTCTTTTCCGGGTCTTGTACTGGCCAGTCTTTGTTTTCACAACTTGAGCCACAGGATAATTCCAAGACCGTGCGGAAAATCTTGCGAATGGTGTCAACTGAGAGCCACAATCCCTGCTTGACTGCATAGGCCACCAAATCTTGAGGTTCTGCATTAGTGATGACCATACCTCCACCTCTCTCTGAACATGGCATCATGCATGGCGGCAACGGTTTTGAACCCACCGCTTTCCATGCAGCATCATCTTGCAGCGTGAAGTTGTACATCATGATCGGCCGTCGTTTAGATTTGTCAAAGGTGAGGTACACCTATCAGGGCAAAACCATTGATCGTGTAACCCTGAAAAAACCCAAAGAAATCTAGACAAACCATTGCATTTTCTCCAAAATTCGATGTACTCCGTTCCCCACTGGAAGTGCCCGTCCTTATCACCAACGCACTGCTGGACCAGACAGGCCCCTTGGGCAGCGTAGCCAAAAAAACCCAAGCTTACCGCGTAGAGGTCTTTGGAAGGAAGGTGATAGATGTGTCTCTTCATGAAAAACATACCTGCAAGGCCGCATGCCGTCACCTATGAAAATACAAACATTTGAAAAAACTACAGTACACAGTAAGTACATGTTTTTTTTTTCTGTTCCCTGGTGCCTGCCCAAGCATTGCAAGCATTTTTCCACTTGGTGGCCCTGTCTTCCATGAGGTAGAAGCAGGCTGCAGTTGCAACCCTGTTGGACAAATAGCCAGCGGGCTTCCAATCACGATCCAACTTCAGCAATGCCTTTTTGTCTGGGAATTCTGTGGGCAAAGGGTGATCCCCAGGCTTGTGCCTTGCCAGCGGCTTTGATCTGAGCTGCTCCCCCAACTCTGGCAGAGTTGCAGATTCTTGAGGACGAATTCTTTTCGACCCCATAGCAAAGGCTGCTTGGAACTGCTGGAAATCAACTTCCGGAGTTGGCAAGTGAGAAGTTTTTAATGTCGGGCATGTAGACGCATAGAAGTACTGTGTCGACTTTGCCATGTGGCTCCTCCCCTTGTTCTGCACTCCAGAAACATGCCGCAAGTGATTGAAGGCATCTTCCAGGATGAACTTGGTCGTGGCAGGGCCGCCATACAGCCGAAAAGCAAATTCCCGCAATAGGTCCGTGAAGACCCATTGGCAATCCTGCATGGGGTTAAGAAGAACTGGTGGCCGCACTTGAAGGTGAGAAACCTAAAACCAAATGCGCTTCAGATTCAGTTGGATTCTGATTCAAGGGTAGGTTGTTTACTTTGTATATACAACAAACAATGACATTGGGAGTCCCACCCACAGTCCTCCCCAATCTTGAACAACTCACGGACCAACTGAGTCTTGTGAAATGCAATATCATTCAGCACTTTGCGAAGCCCAGCTATGTGACAATTCTTTTCTGCCTCCAGCAATGCATTAGCCAATCGCTGCATGACTTGCATGGTGCCATCGCGGCGCTGCTCCACTGTTGATAGCAATCCCGCCGTAATGTTCGGCATCAGGATTCCAAACATTTGCTGTGACCATGCCCGGGCAGACGCAATCTCAACAACCAAGTTGAAGGTGAGCTGCGCCCAGTAGAGCTCTTCTTGCACCCAGGGACGCCCCATTGCATCTCCAGTCATTGGAACAACCGGGCCATTGTCCACCGTTACGCCAAGCCTTCTGAAGAGTTCTGAAGAATGCATGAGCTGCAAAGTCTCGACGATGCATTGATGCCATGAGCCCGCTACCCGGTCGGCTGCCCATGCCACAAGCCCATCCTGTCCGAGGGACTGTCGCTCGATGTCTCTGAAAAATTCTGCTTCTAGAGGGCCTAAGCACATGGCGATGAGCCTCAATCGTTTCTGCAAGTCACGATCTTGGTAAAGGGCTGCGCATAGGTGCCAGCTGTTCTGATATTCTCCTCTTAGGGCTTGGAAAGCTGCCTTGGAGTCAACGTCATCCGTTGGCACACCAGCAGCATGAAGATCATCTTCAACCTGGTCATCAGCGGCATCAAGGTCTTCGACACCATGGTCTCCCTCTTCCGCCTCGTCCTCCTTCTCCTGCATCTTTTCCATGAACTCAGACGCATTGGCTCGCTTGTGGCCAGAAGCAGCGTCATCCTTGTCATCTTCGTCCTTGCTGGATGATGGTCTGGTGTGGCACACACTGGGTCATCCGGTTGGTCGGACAGGAAGAAAGAAAGGAAAGGAAGGAATGCAAGACAGAAAGACACACAGGCAGACAGAGAGACCGACAGAAAGAAAGAAAGAAAGAAGGAAGGAAGGAAGGAAGGAAAGAAAGAAGGAAGGAAGGAAGGAAAGAACGAAAGAAAGAAAGAAAGTAAAGCACGTAAACTGGAAAGCTTTTGATCACTGTTTGAAACAAGGTGCAACCAGCCCGCAGCGGACGAAAGTGTTTGTGACCAGCCCCATCACTGTCCAACTGAAATCTGTTCTCCTCAAACCCTGCAAGAGGCCAAACCAATTTTTGTTTTTGACCTTAGGCTCACGAAAACGGGTTCGAAAAAGGCAGAGTTACCGAGTCTGGGTCAGGGTTCATTCATGGTTTGATTCCTTTAGCTGGCTTTGAAAAAGTAAGCGGAAAAAAATGGGAAAATTAAATGGTACCTATTGCGTCCAATTAGCCATTGCACCACGCTTCAATGTTCGAGAATGGCTATGCCAGCTGCGCAACTCATCCAGTAGGCTGTCATGGGAGGTGATGTGCTGTAAGTCTCTATCGAAAGCGACATCGTCCAAGTAGTCAGAAATGTCCAAGTCGTTGGCAAGGTGTTCTAGTACTTC